ATCGTAGCCTGGAGAAATAAGATATAAGATGCCTGATTATCAAAGGAATCTCATTTTGAAAAAAAAGACCATCAGAAAATAGACCATGAGAAGATGAAATTGTACAAACCTTCAAATTGAACATAAAGGGGTGTCATAACTCCAGTACTTTTCCTTTTCCCCACACTTTACAAAGGGATCTTTCAACTGATCAAATGTAAAAGGACGACAAGAGGTAATTTATATTGCTCACAGCTACTATTTAATGACTCCTTCAAAGAATGAAAGATAATTTCACTTGTGTTTGCATAGACGGCAGACGCTTGTCATACACATTGCTTATAACTTTGTAAGGCTACTTCTCTGAAATGTAGAGATAGATATTGAGTGTGAAACCAAAGCCAAAGTCTCCAGAAGTCTTAGAAAGCCTGTGACAATCATTGTGAGATAATCAAAGGTATGTCTTTAGGAATATATACCCTGATGAGCAATGCATAATCAGGTGGGGAAAATTATTTTAAAATTAGTGACTACATTAAGACATTTTCTGCCTAGAAAACTAAGTCAGTTTTACTGGTAAATTTTGTAAAAAAGACAGGCTAATTCGGCCTCTAGCTTGACAGAAACACAGTGCTGGTGCAGGCTTGTCACAGTACTCTGAGAGATGAGATGGAAGGACTGGAAGTTTGAGATCAGTCAGGGTTACATTGTGAGATTCTATCTCAAAATACTAAGTACTGGGACTGAAGTACTGGGACTGTGTTAGAGGGCTTGCATAGGATGTGTATTTGGTTAGATCCCCAGCACTGGTGGGGGTGGAGAAGAAAGAGGAAGAGAGATTTTTTTTTAGAGAGAGAGAGAGAGAGAGACAGAGAGAGACAGAGAGAGACAGAGAGACAGAGACAGAGAGACAGAGAGACAGAGACAGAGACAGACAGAGACAGAGGCAGAGAGAAATAGACAGCTAAATTTTGTATGGTTCTTGATTATTTTTTAAATATTTGACTTATTAACTTTTATTTTATGAGTGTTAAGCTTGCCTGTATGTATTGCTCCTGTGTTGTACAGAAGAGGGCATCAGATGAACTGGAACTGGAGTTACAGATAGTTGTTAGCCACCATGTGGGTGCTGGGATTCGAACCTGACTCTTAGACAAGAGAAGCCTGTGCTCTTAACCATGGAGTCGTCTCTCCTTTCACTGGTTCTTAATTATTATAGAATAATCTTTTATTTGTCTAAAATGGATTTTCCAAGAGCATCAACATTTCAAGGACATTTGTGCATCTATACATATTCAGTTCAAGACAGGCAAATCCACTGTGCCTCCATGTGATGCCTGTTTCTATGTTTTGCTTTTTCCTGGGTGTCAGAAATAGAGATGAAGATTATTTTTTGATGCATGTCTTTCTTAAAGAAGTATCATCGGGGGCTGGAGAGTTGGCTCCGTGGTTAAGAACACTGGTTGTTCTTGCAGAAGACCCAGGTTCGAATCCCAGCACCCACATGGCAGCTAACAACTGTCCGTAACTCCAGTTCCAGAGTATCCAACAGCCTCTTCTGTCCTCTGCAGGCATTGCACGACATGGGTGCACTTACATACATGCAGGCATAACACTCAAACACATAAAATTTAAAAAATAAATAAAATATTTAAAAAGAATATTTAAAAAAAGAAATATCATCAAAGCCTTGACTATATTTTCATGCTACAAAATCTTTCTTTTTATAATTCCCTTGGATAATGAGATCATAGTATTCTTTATTTATTTAAACTAATTTCAAACAGAAATTAAGCTCCCTTAGACACTGTAGTATCTTTATCTTCTCTACTTTCATTTTTTCAGAAGCTTCTTTTAAATTTTTTATTGAATTTTTGCAATTTTTCATATAGTACAGTTTGACAGTATTTAGATCCCCTCTCCTATTTGCACCCACCCAATTAATGTACTCTCATACATTAGGCTATAGAGCCTGATTTGTGTCCCCAAATGTCCTTCAGTGTGGGGCCATCCACTGTACCCACCAAAAGCCCCAACCCTGTAAGACTTTCCTCTCTTTCTCCCTCCCAGTAGCTATCAATTGCAAAAGAAGTTCCTTAGGTTGGATTAGGATCTCTTACACATGTTCCCATAGCTATGCAGGGATTTTGTCTGGTTTGAGTTTGCATACAACTTGTACATGCTGTCACCATTGCTGAGAGTTCATATGAGTAACTGACCAGCTGTCTGGGAAACTTGGCTTCCTTTGGCTCATCTATCCCCCTGGCTTTTACTATTTCTGCCTCCTGCTGCACAATGATCCTGGAGCCTTGGGAGGCAGAGGTTTGAAATAGATCTCCTATTCCATGATATGCTATCTGAGGCCTCTTGTTCTCTGAACATTGATCAGTTGTGGGTTTCTGTGTTAATCATCATCTGCAACAGAAGGAAGCTCCTCTGGAAAGGGTTGAGAGAACAATTTATCCAATGCGTTGAGGTTACATTGAAGATGTGTCACCTAGGGTTAAGTGTCTCACCTACACTTATTCTTTGCATTTGATCAGTTCTAGAAATCTGTAATAATCTCCATCTGTTACAAAAAGAAGCTCCTTAGATGAGGGGTAAAAGATAAACTTTTTTGTAAACATGAATGTGAATATTTTGAATAAAGAAATTGTTGGTCTAGTGGAAATGGCAAAAGTAGGTTTTTCTAATTTTCAGGTAAATTGATGGTATACTAAGTGAAGGAACACGGATTCAGAAAAACAAATTACATATGATCTTTCTCATTTATAGATTTTAGCTCCAAATCCCTAGATGTCAGTATATAGCCTGATGTATAGGAGTGAGGAAAATGGAAAGGAACCACAGGGATAAAGGGAAAAAGGAGCTCCAGAGAGGGCAAGAGTAGGAGACAGGTGTTTTAGGGGTGAAATGGAGAAGAGGAGAGTACTTACTTGGGGAGGGAGTAGTGAAGGTTATACTGGAGTGTGAGAGGAGAAATAAATAATGCTTAAATGGTATGAAAAAAATCAGACAAAAATGTATATATTCAAAGTCCTACTGAAAACTGCGCATAAATAAATATACAAGTGCATATGTACAGCGGAAGGCTATGTAACATAAATTACAGTGCCAGGCAGGAGAAACTTCCCTTCAAGTTGTGGTCAGGGTAGTCCAAGAGACTCTAATCAACAGAGGCTACTGTCACAGCCTTTGGTTGCTTCCCAGAACTTTAATGTAAGACCTTATTCCTGAAGATTTGCCACACTTCAGACACAGGACTTGGAGCAATCCATCTGGAACTAGTCTGGAAGCCTCCTCCTTGAAGACTAGCTCTCATGGTTTCAGAGGATACTGTACATGCTGCCAAGAGAGAAAATAAATCAAAGTTCTTCCCAGTTTTAAAGTCTAACAAACAACGACTGACCCAACACATCTTTGCTATTGGTGCAATAGTAATACTTTTATCTTGGGGTTAATCATCAGTTGTCTAAATGAAATTAAGTTTCAATAAATGGAAGGGAACTCAAGTGTGGTACTATAAACATAGCCAAATACATATGATTAGAGAGGTCCTAGATCCTAGAGAAAAACTACTTTTACAGGTTTCTTAAAAACCAAACAAAAAAAAATTATCTATTTTGAAGAACAATTTTTCCCAGTAAAATATTTTAATAAGCCTTGAAACTTTATACATTTTTTTGGTCTTCCTGAGACAGGGTCTCCCTATAGCCCCAGCTGTCCTGGAACTCACTATGTAGACCAGGCTGGCCTTGAACTCAGAGATCTGCCTGCCTCTGCCTCCCAAGTGCTGGGATTAAAGGTGTGCACCACAAGGCCCAGGGAAACTGTGTAAAATTTTCTCTTATCATTTCTTGAGCATATCTAGATAGTTTGGGCAAAAAAGACATCTCAGTTTATTCAAAGAATCTTTAACTTATAATGTAATCAGCCGCATTTGTATTATTAGCTAAGCATTTTAATAACAGGATACATCATTATCATTGTTCCAAAATTTAAGTTTAGTGCCTTATTTGTGACCTTTCTTCTGGAAGTAATTTTCCTGTATTACTATGTAATTTAAAATTACTTATTGTATTTTATAATTCCTGTTTTAAATCAACTGGTTTTCTTCTAGTAATCCATATCCAATTTTAGGAAAATATTAAAAGTAGAGATATGCATGATTCATTTAGTTTAGATTACAAGGAAAGGGAAAGAATATAGTGCATCTTAATGGTGTCATCATTTATCTGCTCTCACTTGTATTTTTTCATTAATATTCTCACTAAGTAATCTCATACACCTCCATTAATTCAGGTACAAGAGACAGACTGAGAAACCATGAATTTCTAGTTCCAATATAGAACTTGTCTAGAACTATAGGTTGTATATTTACTCTGTTATTAGATCACTCTACATTGCTGTTTCTTGAGATATCTTAAATTAATTTTTTCATGATTCCCTTTTGCATATTCTGAGTAGGGCCTCTGGTGTTTTCAGTCGTATTGAATGATCAGAAAATGCACCAAGTCAGTGAAGTTAGAGTTTAGTTCTCATCCTTACTCCACTCTCTTCCTTACTTCACCTTTGCGATGTTATCATTCTTATGACAGTTTTATTACTCATTTACCAACGTTATTGATCTAAATCCTTTCCATTCTGTCAAGTTCAAAGTACTTCCATTGTCATTGCTGTCAGCAGAGAGCATTTGCCTTTCACCAACCGGACGATAGACAGAGGCCCCTGCTTGCTCTTTGTAGTTCAGATCCAACCCTTTGCTAATACACTATTTAATATCTTTTTAGAAAGATGGCTTACAAATACTGCTTATCACACTTTCACTTTACCAATAACCCTTTAATAGTGTTATCCTATCATTTAAAAATAATTCTCAGCACTTAATGAAGATACCAAGTCCTTGTAAGATTTTATACTTACTCACCTCCTGAAGTTCATTCCTCACTGCTCCTTCACTTTAGTCTAGATGGGCCTAGACTCTTGGGACTTATATCTATTTATACTACACAAAATTCTCTATTATTTAGGCATTAAATGAAGACACTACTTCTTCCTGGAACTCCTTTTCGCCAACACTCCAGAGACTCATAGGTAAGTTTAGTTTATTCATTAACCAAGATCTCCCTTCTTTTGTTAATCTGTCCAGAAAATGTTGGGTGCTTCTGTGCATGATTCAATGAGTACATGAGCATCTAGTGCATGAATGAATGCTGTTTAGATTCTTCAACATTTGTCTGCTATAGTCCCAGTTTTGGAACATCATGTCATTTATTTGGGGAAAAAAATTTTCCTTAACACAGTTTACCCAAGCTCTTTACTTTGATTTAATTAGCTTTATTCCTTTGATCTTTATATTTAGTCAGACATGCATGACAGGTATCAATAATTTATATGGTTTTCAAACAAGGACATTTTCACTCCTTAGTTGTCAAATCTAATCTCTGAAAAATTATTTGTCAAATAATGATAAAATCATAAAATGAATACAACAAGAAGGTAGACTCTTTATAATAGAATATTGAGGTCTTTTCCTTTTGTTGAGGAATTGAGACCATTAAAATACTGTTATTATTGAATGAAGTGTGTTAATTACTGTAATTTTGCTGATTTTATAGTGTTTTCTTATACTTCTTTTGATTAACTGTGCTGAGGTTTTTATATTTTTTTGCAGTGGCCTCCGGAGTGTTTTTATACTTCTCTTTAGGCTGAAGTACGTCTTTTAGTATTCTCTATAGAGCTGACTTAGTGGTCAGGTATTTCTTTAGTTTGTTCTTATCATGGAAAGTATGTATTTTTCCTTCAATTTTAATAGAAAGATTTGCTGGGTATGGTAGCTTGCTTTGGCAATTGTGATCTTTCAGAACTTCGACTAGATCCTTCCCCTCTTGCTTGAAATTAGTTTTTGACTAATCAGCTATAATTTTGATAGGTCTCCCTTTGTATGTGACTTTTACTCTTCTTATACAGAAGCACAAAAGACCAAGGGTAGGCAAACTAATCCTGAGCAAAAGAATACTTATAGAGGTATCACTATACCTGATTTCAAGTTATACTACAGAGTCAGTGTAATAAAAACAGCATGAGCCTGACACAAAAACAGATAGATCAATAGAAGAAGAATAGACTAGAATAGAATAGAATAGAATAGAATAGAATAGAATAGAATAGAATAGAATAGAAAAGACCCAGATATTAGTCCATGCAAATATAGCTATAGGATTATTGGAAAAGATGTCAAAATACAAATTGGAGAAAGGACAGCATCTTCAATGAATGGTGTTGGAGAAACTGGATTTTGACATGAAGAAGAATGAAACTAGAGCCTTATCTCAAGTCGTGCATAAAATTCAATTTCAAATGGAAAATAGATCAAGGACCACAATATAAGACAAGATATTCTGAAAATGCTGGAGGAAAAAGTAGCAAACATGCTTCAGTATAAAGAAACAGGTTAATACTTTCTAGGTAGGACTTCAGTAACCCAAGAAAAAAAGGCCAACAATCAACAAATGGGAACTTATGAAATTGAAATTTTCTGAATTTTCTTCACTTAACTATTAGAGTCTGCATGCAGAATGGTGGGAAATCTTTGCCCAGTGCACATCTGATAGAGTGTTAATGTCTAAATTATACAAAGAGCTCAAAATTTAAACACCATGAAAACAACCCAATTAAAAAGTGAGCTGTGGAACTAAACAGAGAATTCTCTAAGAAAATAAGAATGAAGAAAAAGAAGTACAAATGCCCAGGAAACCCTCAAAAGGGCTGTCTACATCGTCAGCCATCAGGAAAATGGAAATTAAACAACTTTGGACTTCCATCTTACCCCAACAGCTTGGAAATGGAAACAGCCTAGATGTGCACCAAGTAATGAACGGATAAAGAAAATGCAGTACATTTACACAATGGAATGTTATTGCAATGTAAAGAAAGATAAAATTATGAACTATGCAGGTTAATGGGTGAAATGAAAGAAATGAAAGAATTATATTGAGTGAGGTAATTCTGGCCCAGAAGGACAGATGCTGCATTTACATCCTAGAGAGATCCTAGCTTTGACTTTTTCAGTTCTGTTTATTTGAATTGGAGTAACTTTGGAAATCAGAAAAATACCAGGAGGACATTAAGAGGGTGTTACCTTAGGGGAGGGGGTGACAGTAAAACGGGTAAAAGAAAACAGAAGTAAGAATAACAGGACAGGGAATGTTTAGGCAGGGGGAGTAAGAAGATGGGGGAGATAAAGTTGCGGGGGAGAGGATTAGTCAAAATGAAGTGTGTATGAAGCACCCAGATGGAAACCTCCTATGTTTAAACCAAATTACAAACTGAAAAAAATGCAGCGGTGTATGAAAGTCACGAAGCTCCTTGTACATTTCCTGAATCACAGCTATGGCTTAACTCGTTCATTTCTTCATCTTTTTTTTTTTTTTTTTTGATTTGAGAGGATTTCATGCAATGTATTGTGATCATATTCAGATTTCCTCCCCCTTTTCCATTCCCCACCTCTCTCTCCCACTTCAAATTCATGTACTCTATGATGGGTTAGTTCTTTTTTTCAAAGGCCTATTGAGAATAATCTGTGTTTCCCAAATGCTTTTCGAAGTAGATTTATCCAGTGGAGTCTAGTCAGTGTACCAGGCATCACGTTAGTAAGAAAAACTGACTCTTCTTCAAGAAGCCAATAGATTATCATATTACTATCATGTGCCAATAGATTCACAGTTAAGGCTGGGTCTTGTCCACTTCCGCCATCCATGTTGTTTTTCTTCTGGGTGTTGTCATGTCTTGTACATGTCTTGTACTTAAGTGCTGTGGATTCATATGTGCAACTGCCCCATGATGTCCAAACAATATAGTTTCCTATTATTCATACCACCTCTTGCTCTTACAGTCTTTCTACCTCTTTCCCACTTTAGTCCTTGAATCTTTGGAGGGGAAGGTAAAATATAGGTGTTGAGTTCTTATTACATTTCTTTTAATGGCAGGTTGTCTAAGACTGTTGTTTCTAGAACAGAGAATGATTACATAAGAAAGTTTATTTTTTCCATGGGGTGTTGATATTTGTGAATTAAAAAAAGAATGCACATTTTCTTTTTATGGTACTATAACA